CAGTGCCTGCACATCTCGTGACAGTGCCTTGCCCAGCCAGGAACATTGATCCCCTGGAAGCTCTCCATTTGTCGCTGAAGTTCCCTCACTACAGGGATCACCTGGCTAAGGAGAGCATCGCCAGCACTGAGGGTCTCGGTGGCCTTGAGGAAGGGCTTGAGGACCACCAGGATCTGGGAGGTGGTATGGTATACCACTCAGCTCTGTTAAGGGGGCTGCTGATCCCAATCTCCCTGAGCAAGGCCATCTCATGGATGGCCATCTGTTGCTTCACCAGCCTCTAGAGCATCAGGTATGTGGAGTTCCACCGAGTCTCCACAACCTGCATGATTTTGTGCTGCGGGATGTTCAGCTCTGCCTGTTTCTCCTGCAGCCTCTTGCCCCTCTTGATGCTTGGGTGGAAGTAGCCTGCCTCCTTCCTGCAACTGGAAGTGAGCTTGCTGGTGGTGCTGGCACTGTCATCGGCAGCCCTGTCCCCCTCCAAGGCATCCCTGACAATGAGGTGGAACTTGTGTGCCACACAACGTAAGCCAACAAAGTTGGCATCACAGACCGTCTTGACCATACTGGCCCGCTTGTCAGTGACCATGAATCCATGGGTAAGCTCGCCCTGCCCAATGAGCCACCCCTGCACCAAGCAGTTCATGGCCCCCATGATCTCTGTTGCTGTGTGGGACTCATCCATCACCTTGGCTTGAAGGAGAGCCCACTGACAGCCTGACTGGTTGCACCAGTGCCCTGTGAGGAAGAGGTATGCATGATCTCCATCCTGGCTGCTCGATTTCTGAGGTAAACTGTAGGGTCACTTGCGGACCTGCCTTGCACAGCTCCTCCCTCAAGTACTCCCTGCATATCTCATTCAGGGAGGACACCACCGTCCTGCTAAAGGTGGTGTGTACAGGCACCTGGTATGATGGGGCCATGAGTGCAATGAGCCGCTTGAACCCTAGCTGCTCAACTAAGGAGGAGGGCTGGCCATCCACAGCAAGCATCTCCCCAATGCTCTGGGTGATTTTGCTCACCCTTGCAACATGCCCCACTTTCTGTCCTCCTTTCCCCCCACTATTCTATGGTGGCCTCTCTGCTTTGGGGGGATGGGGCTTTGAAGCCAAAAGGGGACTTCCCTTTGGGCACGCTACCGCTGGTGCCAGGCTGAGGAGAAGCAAGGGCAAGAGGGTGGTCCCTGCGAAGATGCATCAGCATCCCCGTGGTGCTCATGTGTTTTGTTCCCTTGCCCCAGCTGGTTTTGGCTCAGCAGTGCAGGCAGATAGCGTCTGTAGGATCATCTGCCAGCTCAAAATGATCCCAGACCACACTACCGGTTCGTTTCTCGGGTGCAGGTGCATGTGTGCATGCTGCAATTTCCCCCTCTTCAGCAGGCACAGGCACAGCAACAGGAGGAGCAGACTCAGCTGAGCCACTTGCCTCCACAACCTCTACCTCAGCCTCCTCTGAAGTTCCTCCTGGGGAAGGAGATCTGACTCTTTGGGAAACTTGGGGGGGGGAGCACAAACTCAGATGATTTTCCCTCCTTCCCCAGAATTTCCCTTGCTAGAGCTCTCAGATCCAGCTGCACCTCTTCCTCTGGCACTCGAAGGCTCAGTATGGGAAGTGACATGGAGGTGGAAGAGACTGTCATGCTGGTGCTGGTGTTGCAGCTTGTTGTCATGGTGGGGGGGGGGCGGTTATGGAAGGTGCTCTTGGAGGGGATGCAGACTCAGGCACAGGTGGTGGCACTGGCACTGCTCTCCTCTCCTTGCTTCCTGTACTAGTGGAAGCCTTGAGCCTGCTTGTTGTAGCAAAGAGGCTGTCTCTAAGTTTGGGGGAGGGGGGAACATACACCTCTCCCTCTACCCCCTTTTTCACCCATCCCTGAAGGCTTACCAGCTGCCTTTCTAGCATGCTTCATGGTGCGTTTCATAGTCTCATCTTTATAAAAATATATACATGTATGTGTGTGTTTTCCTATATAAATTCTATAGTATAATATGCTTGCAATATAATAAAGAAAATAAAAATATATAAATGTATATGTGCGCCTTCCTATATCAATTCTATAGTATAATATGCAATATAATTATGAAATTGAAAAGAATCAATCAATGAATATAATAATAAAATAAGTGTCTAGAAAGGAAGCAAAAGGTATTACGGAATCCCATTTGCTAGGCTAGCAAGTAGGAAGTCAATGGTAGTAGTAGCCTTTGTTGTCTAATGCCCCTGAGCTTCTGGAAGATAGCTCAGTAACTGACCCCAAGGCAGAAAGCAGTCCATTTCAAAGAATGCTGCCTTTTATGCTGTTTTTCCACCCCTCCCCCAGAGCACTGGGATTGATCCTTCCCTGAGGTCCCTTCCAGAGTCACTGGCTAGCTACAAAGTCAATGTCAGAGCAGTCATTCCCCCCTCTTCCCCCTCCTTCTCCGTACTTTCTGTTTCCCTGCAGGCAAGCCCAGCTTCAGCTTTGAAACTCGAAATGTTTTGAAAATTTTGAAACGTTTCGACTACCCTCGTTTTGTTTCGAAGCTGTTTTGAAGCCCTTTGTTTCATTTTGATTTCACTGTTTCAAGCTCAAAATGAGTTGAAACAGTGTCAAAATGAAACAGCTGGCGAAATTTCATGCAGCCCTAATAAATATACTTATTAGTCAGGAGTAAGCCCTTAGTTTTCCATGATGCAGAATCCCACTGATTTCACTAAATTCTATATAGGTACAGCAAAAGCTGTGTTATCCAGCACTTTACAAACCGGAAAGCTCCACTAACCAGCATCTGTCAATCTTCCGAAGAACGCAGCAAAAGTGAAATCACAAGTCCCACTTCCGGTTTCACTTCCGCAAGCTAAGTCCCACTTGCTGTGATTCTTCCTTGCAGACCGTGGCCCGGGGCAAAGCAGCCTGCGCATGTTCCCCGATTCCCGGGGGGGATGCCGGATAACAGAGCTTTTGCTGTATTGGGCTCCAGCTGCATAATCTTAAGACCTGGAAGCTATATTATTTTGTACTTTTAAGAAAACAATTTACCTTTGCTGCTTGCTCTTACTCTTCCAACTGCAATCAAGAGATAAGAAAAATAAGAGAAATCCTGTTGTTAAGAGTCCAGGTTCTCAGCTTCTAGATGAGGACAAGTTGAGAGAGAGTGTATAGGTTAAAAACTGTATAAATAAAAAAAAATGCTTATCTCTGTCACTAATAAAACTATTTAAATAAACATCATGCAAAAAAGTGCTTTTTCACTTTTATTCTTAGTGAAAAAACAAATTGGTCAAATTCATGTTAATTTCCTACATAAATGCTAGCAGAAATGACCAGCCTGGTACATATTTCTGCAGAGGAATGCTGAAATGGAAATAAACCACTATTTTCATATAAAATTAAAATATTTTTATGTATCTAGGTCACAACTCTTAATATAACTGCTTAATGGATGACTCTTGCGCTGACACAGACCCCTCCTGAAGTCTATATGACCATGAATGGACACAAGGTCTCCTGCACATATTCACGTGCAGCATTGGAGGGTTAATGAGGAACCAATACAACAAGTCCTTCTGAAAGTGCTCTGGCATTGCCAGCATACACAAAGTCACCACAAGTCTGGCAATATTTATCATTTCTTTATCATTTTTCTAAAGCTCCAGATCTTGCAGCCCTGTGGGAACTTGTTTTCATTTTTATTTTTTACGTTTTTGGCTCCCAGGTTCTCCAAGAACACTGGAAAAAGCAAACCCCCAAAGGCTTGAAATCCAACGGCAAATAAAAAGAACTCAAAAGTATTATTTTTTTTTTTAAGTCTCCTGATTTTAAAGCCAATTTTATAGATTTGGGGAGTAAGGGAGGCAGATTCAGGATCTCTGGCAGTACTGTTATTTATATGTACTTTCCGCAGCAGCCCAGGCCCATTACAATCAACATGAATATTCCCAGAGATCGAGTGAAAGAGATGCATCAAGTTTCTGCATGGTTAACCCATAGTCTGCAGCTGAGGTTCTGTACTTCAAGGGAGCCCCGTCCTCCACGAACCTTAGATCTTAAATGCAAAGCACTTCAATCAGGGGCCTGCTGCCGGAGCCTGCATATACTGTCTTTTGTAATGCCCAAAACAGGCTAAAACCGGGGCCTAACACTTGTGAAGCTGGTGAGAACATAAGCAACTGACTGATTCGTTTTAAAGACATAAGGCAGAGGTTCTCAAACTTTGTCATACTGCGACCCCAAGCGCTGGGTGGCCGCAGCGGTGCACGGGGGAGAGCTCGCACACGGCAGCCGCCGCCACCATCCACCACTCTGCACCACTGCACGTACCCCCTGGGAAGCTTGCGGCCCCCTTTAAGTTGCTTGTGACCCCCCCGAGGGTTGCGACCCACAGTTTGAGACCCCCTGGCACAGGGGAAGGGTTTTGTGGTCCTCGTGCCTTGGAGGATCAGAATAGCAGAGACGCCCTAGGCCAGAAGAAGGGCGACTGTGCCCAAAAGCTTGCCAAGATCTTTTTTCCACCCCCCCAAGACTCGGTCTAATAAAAGCTAGCACGTCCATTCAAAGAACCTGGCCTGCCATAAGAAAGGCAGCTCTGGTGGTCCCAATGGCCTCAACGGGGCTTTGCCCAGGAAGAGGGGTCACAAGGCGGGAGTCCTGAAACAGACGGTGGCAGAGGTCGGCAGAGCCACCACAGAAGGCGCAGGCCCACCCGGGACAGCGGCCCGGCGGCAGGAGCGAGGGCGCGTGTCAAGCGCTCAGGGCAGAGCGCGGGCAGAGCGGGGCCCGCGGCCGGGGCGGCGCCGCCCGAGCGGGAATGGGCGCGGGCTCCGCCCCGCTCGCC